GCAGAGTGACCTACCTTTTTACGGTACGGCCTCTTGCGCTTGCTGCGGTCCGTGTTGGTACTGTCCTCTAGGCTCTGTCTGGACTTCTTGCTATCCTTAGTCTTGCCATCATTCTGCTAACATCACAAGAAGGGAAAAGAAGTAAACTGTAGAATGCTTCTCACAAATAAATCTTACAAATTTAACAAGCTACAACTTGAATAAGGGTTCGTCAGAGAATACTTTGACTGCTGGCAGAATTAGAAACCAATGCTGTGGTGGCATCAATTCAAGTTTGGTGATGGGTTTTCAATTTTTCTTTGACAAATGGGACTCGTACAACATACCAGGTGGGAGCTCACCTCAAGTTTGGGTATGCAAATTGACAAGTCAAAGGTCAGGCCCTGTAGCTTTTGTTGGGGTCTGAGGGAACGGGAAGCAGCAGATAATTTCCTGCCCAACTGTTTTAATGCACCTGTTTTCCTCAAACTTGATTCAAAACAGGAATGAAATGAAAACACATCAATTTTGATTCCATCTCAGTTGTGATGATCAATAGATTTGGGAATGTTCATCAAATTGACTATCGAAACATCGAACAAGCCACTGCTCAATTCACAATTCTTGTTCTGAATTCCCCCCCGCCTTTTGAAGCGACAGTTCCTGCCAAAAATATCCCCCTACCAAATTCATCAACACTCAAAGCTTATCCAAATGATACCAAAGGAAATCGATCCCATTTTTTTTCCCATCCCTTGTCAAATTGAGGTCAAGCACAAAAGGCAGGCTTATGCCACTTACAGCAGTGGCAGCATAGCAACCCAAAATATATTTGTCTGAAATGGGACACTGGGGCGTGTCAGGCTGGAGAGCCCAGCAGAACCAAAAAAACACAAATCATCAAGCCCCAACATCAGTCCCTGATGTCAAGCACGTGTATTTAACAGCTTTAAACTGTAGCACCTGGTAGCAATGCCAGACACCAACTCCCAAGTTTCCAACCCCCTTATCAGGAACACAGTAAATAGGGGTTGTCCTGGGTCAGCAAATTATCAGCTTTAATATCTGTGATAAATGGGCCTGACCTACATTATACAACAATCAGAGTGATAAGCCAGACTGTAAGTAGGCACTTGGGGCCAACCAACACCTCAACAAGAGTTAAAAAAAAAAAAAAACAGAGACACACAAAAACATTTGTGTCCTGGGGAGAAAATGTAGGGCTATGGGCTGTGTGCAGATTAGCAGCTAAGCGTTCCTGCCAGAATTTTTTGTTTCTGGAAGGTGGAGGGTGGGTCAGCAATGGGAATAATGACTCTACCAGATGACAAATGGCCAGGTCCTGGAAGTACTGGCTCCCTGGCACAACACTGGATAACCACTCTGGTTTGTGACATGGTCCTCAGGGTGGAAAGGAAGAATGGTCTCTCACTTGAAAGTTTGACCAGACAGCAGGCAGTCCCTCTGCTAAATTACCCTTCCAGAATTGGTTTTGTTACAATGACTTTCCTCGAAAGAAAAGCTGGGCAATTCCCCTGCAATCGCTGCAATGGTTAGAAACACTGCTGTCTTGAAATGCAACAGTCACAGCTCTAGGGGGCAGTGTTCAAGAAAGCATTTTCAAACTTATCATTTTTGAGGGCCTGACTTTTGGAGAATTTGGGGGAAATCAATACATTTAGAAGTGTGAAATGTCGAAAAGAAAATCTTTTAAAATCATATTCATAAACTCCTATGAGAGTTTAACCCTTTCTATTGGTTGAGAGCTCATCACGTGACCAGTCTTGAACAGCTGCTAATGCACTAATTGGCTAATACACTATGCACTACATACATGCCAAGTGCACACCACTACTCAACTACTCCTAAGGGACTTTCACAATACACGAATTCCCCGGGGATTTCCTGGGAACTGGGGGGGGGGGAATTTTGGTCAGTCAGTTCACACTACCAAAGAAATTCCTGGGGAAAAACTTTTCCCTGCCAAATATTTAACTAGTTAGGAGGGGACAAAGCATGGACATTTGATGGCATATGCACGAAGGTAAGGTTACAACTTGAGGTAAAATGATGACTTCAGTCTCAGACTATCACTGTTTAAGAAAAAAAGGTACTCGAAAAATACTCCTCCAAGTGCTTTCTGAGTACTTTTCTCCTTGAAACTTCAAGTTTACAAAACTGGGAGTGTCTGAAATTCTACCTTTGCGCACAATACCATCAGATGCCAATGTATTCCAGCTTTGATTCCTGTTACTCAGTTCAACATTTGGCAGAGAACCTTGGTTATTGAACTTGGTACTCGAAAACTACTCAAAGTTGAGTTACAGATCTATAACACTGCTCAATAATATACTGAATTAACATTGGTATTGAAGCTATGGGGGACCTCATTCTGCAGGAAAGACAGGCACACATGTAAAGTACAGTCATTTTATACAACACATTAAATCATCCCACTTCACTCTGTACACATAGAGTTAACTTCTCATAATTTTGTCACCACAATCTGAAATTGCATTTATGCCCCAGGCTCCAGACCAGGAACGCTAACAATCCTCTGTGTAACACAAGGTGCCCACTAAATTATCAACTGCCCTCTGTAAATCACCTGACCAAGGCCAGGAGAATTGCAGCAACTGTGCCATAAAAGTACTGAAAGGGCCCCAAGCCAGGGCAGGTAATTATCAGGTCATGAAACCCAAATGTTTATGCCATGGTTTGACAGTGTCACTGACTGATGTGTTTTCTGACAATGCTTATTCCTACAAAGCTAAATAAACACTACACCACCCACAGAGGAATGCCAGTATCTTTAAAAGATCTTATCCTTAAAATAAAAAAACAAAATAGAGAGTGTTGTAATTAATGTGTAAAACTGTATTTGACTGTCACCAAACAATGACTAACAGTGCTAGAACCTTCCAAACATTGACTGAAACTGCTAGAACCTTCCAAACATTAACTGATGCTGCTAGAACCTTCCAAACATTGATTGACACTGCTAGAACCTTTCAAACATTGACTGACACTGCTAGAA